TCTTAGTATGTGAGGGCTGCTACATTTCTAGCCTCTGCTACGCTGAAATGTTCATCATTCAGGTTTGTTTTTAAACATTTTATCATCGTCTATAGCAGTTAAATCCAGAAAAAAACAACCTCAAGTATACTTATCTGGAAATTGATATATAAATGTTATAAGCGATTTATACTTAGCTATGTGCCCTTATACGAAAAAAGCGCGAAATTCACACCAACCTTTGCTAATAAACTTAAACATTGCGCTTCACGGGTCGTCTTAAGTTGATAATAAAAAAGTTTAACACAGGAAAAGGCGCGAAATTCACACCAAACTTTGCTAATAAACTTAAACATTGCACTTCACGGGTCGTCTTAAGTTGATAATAAAAAGTTTAACACAGGAAAGATTTTTAACGTCATAGTGTGGCATGATTTAAAGAGAGAGAAAAAAAGTGATATTGGCTGAAATAACACCATGTACACCGCGTTATGTATTATACTATTTGAAAGTAAACTGCATTATTGCCACCTATATTTTCTTTAACTCTTCCTCTGATGTTTTATTGAAATTTTCTTTTTACTTTTTCCGCACACCATGCAAATATCCTGCTAAAATGAGAAAATTATACGTATTGTTAGTTACTCCGTATACTACCAGCAGCTCAGCCATTGTGTCTAAATACAAGAACAAATTCCACGTTGCTCTCAGTGTGCTAACATTAGATTTCTTGGAGCTTCAATGTAGGGTTAGTTTATAAACAGTGTACGGAAAATCGTCTTTACATCAGTCAATAATATTGAACTGATACACATTGAAACAAAAAGTTGTATGTTATGAAATTTTATATAAACAATTTTTATTGGACACAATACTTTTTTTTTACGTATTTGACCTATCGAGCTCGTGAAACTTATTTCTCACAGCTATGTTAGTTCTACAACCATAAAAAATTAGGCCCGGCAGGACCAGGTGGTTAAGGCGCTCGACTCGTAATCTGCGGGTCGAGGGTTCGAATCCCTGTCCCACCAAACATGCTCGCCCTTTCAGCCGTCGGGACGTTATAATGGTACGGTCAATCCCACTATTCGTTGCTAAAAGAGTAGCCCAAAAGATGACGGTGGGTGGTGATGAATAGCTGTCTTCCTTCTAGTCTTACACTGCTAAATTAGGGACGGCTATCGCAGATAGCCCTCGTGTAGCTTTGCGCTAAATTCATAACAAACAAAAAATAAATTCAGATAGTTAAAATAAAGGTCCTTGTAGTTATGACAGCTTTATTATATCGTAAACCTCTCGATCTGCTGTAGAAGAACATCAGAAATCATTGTCGTTGGTTTCTATTTCGGGTGCTACATCTTAACCTGAACACTGACACAAGAATCGTTAAACTGTAAATTCCGCTTTGAACATGCCTGTAAAACAGTGCAGTAATTACAGACTTTTCCTTGTTGGTTATTAGAGCTCGTGCGCTGCTTTCCTGTTCTATATCGACGCAGTGACAGATTAACTGCTACCCAAAAAAACAAGTTTCGATGTACGAAAATACATCACTACAAACTAAGATAACAAATGGAAAAATACTGACCCATCACTATGTGAATGTAAATATCCAGGAAGTCTTCAGTAGCACTTCTGAGTAGTTATTTATTTACGCAATTATTTACCATGATACGTGCACTGTTGTATATGAACATACTGAGTAAGTCATGTTGTTAATTTTAGTAAGGATGCTTCGAACACTGTTTAAAGTTGTACGTAAATAGCCTTGACCAAACCATTTTTAACACATTTTCTGGAACTAGCTTCAAAGGGGTTTTTCACGTTCTTCTGTTCCAGGAAATTCTATAACAAGCCATCTCCTTAAGCAGCGGGTCTCAATCTGTGGTGTGAAGGCTCCCTTCAGGTGGTGCGACGAAAGGTGTATAAATCTCACCACCTGAATTTTTTGTCTTTTGGACTACAATTCCGGGGATAGGTTGAATAATTACGAAAAGGAAGCAACAGTATAGTGTACAGATCCAATTGTAGTGAGCAGTGATAAACAAAAAATTCAGGTGGTCCCCAAAATGAAAACCATTGTCCTGAAGCATGAGTACGTTGCTTATTCTTTATAAATCCAGTTTTAAGCTGTAACAGTACATGCCTTGTGAGATTCGACTTTAAAATACATCCTCATTACTCCAGCGTTGAGTATGGGTAACTGGTTTAGTGGCTAAATGAACCTTTATTGGTGGTTAGTGTCCTCCAGGCTGGGAATAGGTGTAGTAAGCACCAAGAGCTAAGTAGGAAGTAGGTAAAGACAATATCCAACAGAAGTGAAGAACGGTAATTAACCCAAACTTACCCTACTGTCTGTTTATCATGACCTATACTGGTCAGCTTGCCATGCTGTAAGACCGACGGTTCAGGGTTCGAACCGCGACATGTCGATAAACATACCCTACACTTTTATCTGTAGGGGCTTTCTTTGTAGGCGTGATACTCATCGGTGCTATTCGATTGAGAGTAGAAATTTAGGCAGCGGGTGCTGCTGACTGGTTACCTTTCTTGCGATAAGCACTTCTAAATTAGGGATGGCTATGCCTGAACCCTGGGGATTTTAGTAGTACAAGTTATCGTTCAGGTTGAAAAATACCAAATACAATTTATCATTGTATTTTTTTTTTTATAACCACCAGTCAGAAAGATTTGAAATATGGTATCGCTTTAGAAAGTTTTTACAATGGATGATACCTTTGATGGAAAAGTTGTCAAATGACCCCAGATTAAGATCTCTGACATTGTCTTTCCTTGGAAAAAATAAGAATTACAAGATTGAGGTGTTTAAGATTCTTAAAGGGGGGGGGGGGGAAGGTCTTGGTGCGTCACCGTTTTTTCGTATTTAATAGTGAGAATGTTAGGACTAGGGGACACAAATATAAATTTTGGCAAGGAAATGGGTTTCCTTCAGATGTAGTGGATCCACTCAGTTTAAGGGAGTTTAAGAGAAGGGTTGATAAATGTTTATATGAGATGGGTCGGATTTGAGTGTATTATTTTGATTTTAAAGTTTAGTTTTGTGGACTGGACG